AAGTATTAGAAATTATAGGTGACTTAATATATTACCTCAAATTTGTGCAGGGGAAACTGATAATTTGATTTCTCAGCTTTCTTCTGCCTGTATTCTGTTAAATTAATTGTTGACAGAGTTTGATTCAGTAGTCCTAAATGTACATTAAATCATTTTGCAAGATAAGAGATCATCCTGCCTAAACTCTGAACATAATTTGTCTTCAGATCTTTGATTTTTAATCTACTGAGTAGTGTGCTGAGCACTTCAAAGGGAAAAAAATCACAAAAAAAGATATATTAAAAATCTAAATATTATGAAATATAAATTTACCTAGTGTTATGAAATATAATTAATACTGCTGCTTATTAGCACACTTTAATATTCTTACTTAGTAATATTAATTGCATAATAACCAACACCAGAACACGCATACACATGTACACACAAATCCTTACCATATCTAGAATACAAAGTACTTGCTTTTAATTGCTTGATAATCTGAAGTTTCTGAGCCCTTCCATTGTACCGTGGCTGCCAAGATTATAAGGATACACTCTTTCGAAAGTTACTAAAATTAATAGCTTAAATACCTTCCTGAGAATTGTAATTTCCTCTACACACTAGGGGAGGTAAATAAATTTGAAAATAAATTGGACGCTAACCATAGACTCGGTTTTCTTAGACAAAGAAATACAGTAAAAATCCAGTGATTATTCTGCTATTCTTGTACTGACCCTAGCTCATTAATATTAAATGTAAAAACATCTGGAAATGCTGTGTTTCACATAGTAACATTACAATCCATGTGAAAACACACACCAGCTATAAGAGAAGAGAACAGAATCTTGATATTTAAATTCATGAGGTTCAACATGAAGGTAGTGTATGTTAGATCATAATATAGTTCAACAAATATGTCAGAGTAGTATACATTTTAATGCACTTCCTAATAAAATTTTAAGGGGCTACCATTTTGACTGAAAATAGCAGACTTTGGAAGCTGGCCATTTTGCTGTAAAAAAAAGTCAATATCAAAGTTTAAGAATATTTTCAAGTATAATTTATTTCATATGCAATTTATTTGCAAACATTCATATCAAGCTACTAACCTCAACCATGTATAGGGACCCCTTTTAAAAATACTGCCATTAAAGAACACAAATGTCTCTGCTGGTTTTTGCATGTGTCTATTTCTATTCTGCCTGTGCCTCATACTATTTTAATAAGACTCTTGACAACCCAGCATCTTGAGCCTGCAGCCACAAAGCACTTATATGATACGTGTAAGTATACGTTGTTTTAAACTGACCATAGTATTAATGCCTCTTTAGTGAACTTGTTTTTCCAAAAGAGGCTTTTTCTTTTTAAAATTATCTGAAATCTAGACACAGCCAAGTGTGTTTCTGAGGAGTAAACCTTCAATGTAAGATAATTCTGTATAAGATATTGGCTCCCTTTTACTGAATTTCTGTGGTCAAAGGAATATCTCCTTCGAGTATATAGATCAGTAGAAACTAATTAGTTTAAAAGATACATATATGCTAGGAACATGCCAGAATGGGAATCTGTGACAAATTTAAAAGAGCAGCAGATTTAATTTCAAATCTTTTCTGTAACATTTCTCTGAGACTGAATTCATATTAGCAATCTCAATATTCTTCTTGTTTTTCCAGTCAGTTGTTTATTATTTTGCTGCTGTTTCAAAGATGTTTCAGTAGTTTCTTAATACAATAATCATGCACAGTTATAAAAATGAATATGATATATACTGTTTTTTTATTAGAAAATAATAGCAAATAGAGTTTGGGAAAACAAATATATGGAGGGACTTCTATACCTCATTTTCCATGTAAGATGAGAAAAATGCTTGTCCCACCAGACATGGAAAGTTGATGTGACAATTTTCAAAAACCTAATCTGCCTAAATGAAAGAAAGCATGTGAGCCATTCAGTATTGATTGGGAGGAAAAAGTTCTTCACTTGTTGTTACATTAATCCAGATTTGGCACATTGACAGCAATTTATTCAGAGAAACTGAAAGATACTTGAAGTTACCAAAATACATTGATACATACATTTTCAGCCCCTTTATATCTTAGCTGTCTTTGCTTTTCATACATTTATTTTTTTCTTTCATCATTGTGGAATCATCAGTCTTCCACTGCAATGCATAGTCTCCACAACTTAGAGAGTTTGCTCTGTAGTTTAATAATAGAATCAAACTTTCCAGATACAAGAAGTTTTACCAATTTCCCCATGGACTACAAGTACCCTAGTTAGAGACTAATGAGAAATGAAGTCCTCCTTCACTCTAAAAAGTCCATGATTATTAATAGCACAAATCTTACTACTCTTATACTAATCTTTCTGCATTGCCACATAGCTTTTGTACATATATTAAAGGTAATATTCTACTTTGCACAACACAAGATGTGAGTAGTGTTTAACCCACTCAGCATTCCTAATAACTGCATATCTACAATTTTATTGTAGGTAAATTTAATGTTATGTGCCTGGGGAATGAACAATAATAATAAATAAATAAGCAAATTACAAAAAAGCCAGCTCTTAACTTCAAATTTAAAATCATAGTTTCTGGGTTAGCCACTTCCATTCAGGAGTGAAATTTTGAGTGTATACAATAAGAATTTCTGGAAAAGTCAGCTTCAAGATCTGTAGTCGGCAAAAATACAAAATCAAAAGTTACAAGTTATTAGAAAAGAAAAAAGTAACAAAGCAGAACACATCATTATGCCACCACAAAAGTTCACAGTTTGCCATTATCTTTAATAATGTGTGCAGTTCTGCTCCCTTCACAAAAAGAATCTAACAAAACTGAATATTCTTTCATATAAGCAACGATTAACTAAGCTAAGGTTCCTCAGTCTAGAAAAACAGTCAACTAATGAAGAATATGACTGAAGTCTAGAATATTATAAAGAACTTGGTATAGCAAGGCTCAGTTCTTCATTTTCTCTTTCAATAGAAGAATTAGGGGGCACTGAAAGAAAGAAATGAATGAAACAAATTGAGTGAAAGCAAATGAAGCAACAGGAGCCGGGTTTGAAACAGAGGGAGGTAAACCTTCATATGCAGCGAGTGATAGACCAAATTTGTTGTGAAAACATATTGTGGATGCAACAAATTTACATGAGTTCAAAGAAACATTGAACTAGTTCGTGGAAGATAAGGCCCCTGAGAATTACAAAATGCATGGAAAAGACATCTACCTCAGCACGTCCCTGATCTGAAAGTTGGGCACTGGGGAAATATTAAAGGGAATTACTGTATATTCTGAAATAGTCTTATGGTTTGCTCCATAGATTTTGACTTATGGCCACAGTCAGAGACCTATTTTATCTAGGCTAGATGGACCTCCCTCTTCACTTCTTTTAATAAGCAGGTCTATTATCTGTTAGGTCATCAGCCATGTAAAATAAGAGTTCTGGATCACCAGCAGAGATACTGCAGAGTGTAATGCCTTTCTTTGGACCTGAATAGATTCATTTCATGACTGACACCTAAAATCAGAGCAGGAGGCTGCTGTCTACATGTACCAGCTATTAATATTTCAGATGTCACAAAGCATGTGTTATCTGCAAAAGGCTGACAGATGGACAAAGGACATTCATGCATTCTTCAGCAGCCATTGAAGTCCAGATGAAGTAGCTGAGAGTCCTTAAAAGGAATCTAGCTGCCTGGGTTTAGGCAACTGCAAAGCAGTTTGCATACATTTGCATATATGTGTCTGTGAGGGAGATACTTCCTCATAGACTCTGGAAACTAAATTCTTCTGCTTCCTGGCCTTCAGCTGCTTCTCTGAAAATGATTGAGTCTCCCAGACAGATGTTCTATGAGATCTAGAAATCTACCAGACTGTACAGATATGCTACCATATACAATTAAAACCTGCTCTAATTTGATAGTCAGCAGAATATAGGGATCAGCATCTAGAGGTAATACTCAACTGTCTAAACATAGACATTGAGAGTTTGATTGAATTCTGATGCCTTAGGGTATCTGAAATATCTACATGGGTCTGGCAGATCTGGCACAAAATCTGCATAAGCATTGCAGTCTTCTGGCCTGACATCAATCAGATCACGGAATCGTAGAATCATTCAGGTGGGAGCAGACCTCAGGAGGTCTCTAGTCCAACCTCCTGCTCAAAGCTGGGTCAGCTATGAGGTTAGACCAGGTTGCTTAGTCCAGTGGATCTTGAAAATGTGTAGGGTGATTTGCAGCATCTCAAAAGCCAGTAGTTATGTACATACAGGCAGGTAAATCAAACACTTAGCATTTACAACTTGTAACCTTCTTCCTTGGAAACAGAATAGAATATTCCTTCAGGTATATGCACTGAGCAATCTGTTTTGGTAATGACTGATTATAGTTTTTATGCCAATTGTGATAATTACATTATCTGGATTATTAATCCTTAATTTTGCCAATAATACAGCGAAACAATAGATTCAAAACTTGCACAAGCAAGTTGTTTGGGTGGGTTTTTTTGCTTCTTTTGGTTTGTTTTTTTATTGGTTTTGTTGTTGTTGTTAGGGGTTTTTTTTTTGTTTGGTTTGGTTTTAGAAATAAGGGTTGTTCCTGGAAAGTATTACATAAAATACTGCAGAACGTTGTCATGTTATATGACTGCACATTCAAGATGCTTGCAAAAAGATGCTTCTGGATCCTTTCAGTGTTTTGTTGGAAACCAGTAAAATAAGCCAGGCTGTAGCCTACAAGAGAATACTTAATTTTCTTCAATGTCTTCAGTAAGAGTAGTAAGATTGTAGTCTTAAGGGATAGTGAAACAGTGATCTGAAAGTTGCCTAGAGACTTTTAAAAATCAACTAAATATTTACTTTCCTGTCCCTCCTCCAAGAAAAATAGCCCTGTAAACCCTTGTATTCTACAATGAAGTGATATACTTATGACATCAGTTTTGCGATCTTTCATTGCATGGTGTTGCTTTTCTAGGAATTTCTAGCATTTCTTATTCACAATCGTGTCATTCACAGATATTGGCTGACCTAGAAAACCATGTGCTTTTTAAGGATGACCTAGAATGCCAGAAGCTTATTCTGGAAGCCATGAAATACCATCTTTTACCAGAGAGAAGAACTCTCATGCAAAGTCCAAGAACTAAACCTAGGAAATCTACAGTTGGGACACTTTATGCTGTTGGAGGAATGGATAACAACAAAGGTATTAGAGGATATTTGTTATTTTATAAAAGTTATATTTTGCTTTTTCTTTAATAGAAAATAGTGAAATAACTTTCTATTCCAAGATTGGGGTGAAGGTGTCTAAATCAGTCAAGAAATTCTGCCAAGTCTTTTTGTCCAACGAAAATCTACTGATATTTAAGGAGAAGTATAAAACTGTTAGAGAAAAGAAACTGAGTTTTGAGTTCATTCTTTGGTCAAAATTATTGTACTTTCCAGAAAGTATTTTAACAAAAAATCTAGACATTCATTTACCTCAGCTTTACCATTCTAGAAATTATATTTCATTTATAAGTAAGTCAGATATGTACACACCTTTTCTAATCAATGAAAGAAAGGCAGTTTGATACACAGTGTATTCCATCCTTAAGTAGTTGTCTGAAATATTATGGTTGATTCATTGTCTTCTCATGCAGAAGTTTATCAATCTTCCAGAGAAAAAAACTAGACAACTAGCTTAAACTAGATTACTATTTGTCAACAGCTAAAGGAAGGTGAAATTATCCCCATCTTACTGTTAAGAAAAGTAGCAAGCAGTGGAAATTTTATTAAAGTATTTTGTTGTTATTTGTTGGGAATAACAATTATGATGATGTGCTTTTATTTCTGGCAAGAAGTCTAATCCACTATGTCTTGAATGCAATGAAATGAAATATTTGAACTAAAAGCTAGCTGTGTTATAAGCCTATATACTCAGAAAGGCTTTTATTATTATTTTTTCTTAAAATTCACTAACAATTCCACAGTATCTTACATTTTCATGTCCATATTTAGACTGAAGAATATGACTTCAGGAACATTAGTTCTAATATAAAATTAACTGTACTTAATAAAAAGTACAATATAAAAATAGATCTTCAGTATTTCACAACTCTGTTTCTAGGTGTAGTTATTGCAGTTGTTTCACTCAATAGCTGTGGCAATATCATCTGCAAAAGGGCATTGCATGTTTTTCCCATAAAGTTACACCAATGAGAAAGATGTGTGACATTTGTGCTTGTGTGAGAAAGAAATACTGAGAGAATAAGAAAATGTTGAGGAAAGAACCAATACATATATTCTCTTCTTATAGCTGCAGATTATTTTTGTGATTTTAACATTTATAAATGTTTGTGTAGCTAAATGTTAGGCATGGATTTGCACAGAACATTGTCTTTGGATCCTAAAATAACTGAAATACAAATTTCCTCTTACTTACAAATGATGACGAACACTTTAAATATTCAGGTGGTGGAAATGACCATAAAACCAATTTAGGTGCAACTGTATTTGTTCTAGCTTACCATACAGATCTGTTCCTCGTTCCTATAGCAAATCAAAATATAGAAATATTTAGGAAGACAGAACAGAGCATAGCACCATTGCAGCATCAACACTCAGCCTATTTTGCAGATTCAGGTCAGGCAGAAGTGGTTTATTTCTGTAGCAGCAGGAGAGAATGCAACGGGACAGAGGTTCAGCCCTCTGTCAATGTGAACTCTGACTGAAAACAGAAGTACCAGGGCTTATATACATTTACAGCAGATAAAAACTGCTTTGAGAGGGGGCTTGGTATGGCAGAGCAGCTTCTGCATCAAAGGAGCCTTTGTTAGAGTCAATGTAACGTGCAGTCCTGACAACTCAGGATCTGCAACCATGCAGCCTCGAGTTGCATCTGCTCAACTCACTCCTCTTGTGATGCTGCTGTGTCCTTGACTAGCTTTTACGCCCAGCGAGTCTTCCTTCCACACATCAGTTCGGGAGATCTGAGTGCTGTTTGCATGTTTTGAAGTCACCGAGTTCATAAAGCACTCCTCAGTATTTGGGCTGTGAGATGATGCTGATACTGTATTCTCTCTCCTCAATAATTCTTTTTTTTTTTTTTCCCCACAACTTTCTCCACTGAAATGCTGACATGGATGATTGTGATTCACAATGATGTATTTTTAATGCCTCCTGGTGTTTGCTACCAAATATGAAACAGTTACGTGTAAGAACTAGATGAGCTAAGCAAATTAGCAATTTATTAGCTATCATATAAAACAGTGGGTAAGTGCTAGTATTATGAAAGTATTTGAAGGTTATGTGGCCCATCACATAAAAAGTGGCCTCGCATGCTAAATCAAGTTTGTTTTGAAATCTGTTCTATAGTTATCTTCCTTTCCATAAAAAAGAGGTGATAATTAAACTCCAGTAACCAGTGACTGGAATTATGCCTGATGTGAAAAGTTAATGCAGCATAGTACTAATGCGATAGAATTAAAAAGAACAAAGTTAGGTCATTTTGTAATTTTAATTTCCTAAATGTACAAAACCTCATTTAAATCTCTGTTTCCACACACCTTGTTTATTTATTCATTTAGTCTGAAAGGCACATATAAGAAAAGGGTTTTTTCTACATGTTTACATTAATAGAATGAGATGTATTAATAGATTAGAGGTATATGCTTCTGACAATGTTCCATTCACCTTACCCATTCATATCGTCACACTGACTTCTGTAATTTGGATTAGCAGGTTTTAATCATCTAGTATTATACAAAAGCTGTTTAAGTGCACATATAAAGGAGGATGCTAGACTGAAATAAATGAGTAAATGCAAGAAGTGGACATACACCAATTTGTAAGAATGGTAAAACACTGACTTCTTGCAGCCATCTTGGAATCCCAAATGCAGAACAAAAGCCATGTGATAGAACATGATGTATATGGTCTATGTTAAGATAGTTCTATAGAAGGTTATGATGAGGAAAATATACTTGCGCAGCAAGAGGAGATTGGTATAAATAATTGAGCAGTGCTATATTGATGGCAGAATACTGATTGATCTCTCATGATGTGTTCTAACCTGTCTCACTACCTAGCAGGTAGAATAATAAGGGACAAGGAGAATCTGCAGAAAAAGAAAAAAAAAAAGAAAACAGAAGTGTCAGGGTAACCATGATCCAAACCCACTGGTATATATTATTTTTGGAATAGTCCTAGATTAGTTCATCAAAGTCCTAGATTAGTTCATTATTTACTGAATCACAGTCTTTAAGTAAATACAAGGGAAAAAGAAATGAAAAATTACATGAGCAAGAAACTATTCCATAAACATGTGACAGGTCATTAACAAAGAGAGGGAACAGTTGATTTACTGAAACATTGATATTAATGGTGTGTTTTTCATTGATCTTGTGACTAGATATAAAACCTATCACAAAAATTTCTCTGATGTTAAATAGGTGAGGTGCATCATTAGTCTATATCAAGCAATATTAAAAGTCCTCTCATTATTATTTAGATATTTTCTAGAAAGATCTTTTATATTACCACAGATACATTAAAAAATGAATCTTCTGAAATGTGAAATTGTGAGGTCTCCAGTCATTGTTCCTTAAACTCACATCGCATATTTTGCCTTTTCTTTAATGGTTTTCAGTCATTTGTAATAATCCTTTTTTTCTTTACAAGTATGGTTTTTCAAATGTGGTTTATTACTTATATACCATTATTTCACAGGAATGTCATCTAACATAGCTACATGAAGTTACTCATTTGCTCTGGCGAACTTCAAAGATGTCCTTATTTTTCTGGGCTTTTTTTTTTTTTTAAATTTCTAGCAAGGCATTTCTCACAGCACACTTCACTTAATCCTTATTTATTTTAATTTATTTTTTTTCATTTTCATATAGGCATACTTTTTTAATACTGGAAGAAATATTGGACAATGTATTGTAAATACTGTAAATAAAGGGAAAAAATAGAGAAAGATCATGTTTTTACTCTTAGGTAATTTTTCTTGTTTTTTAAGATATGTATCTGAGATGTCTGTAACTTAAAAATCTATCTACCTCCTTCATCTTCTGTTTAGTGGGAATTTGTAAAAGAAAAAGAAAAAAAAAGTAAAATCCATCAAGATTGTTTTGTGGCATTTTGCAAGTTGTGGAAATTACTACAAACCACTTTGTCTTCACATACATAAAACATTTGTCAGCATTCATTATTTATTCATTTGATGTATATGATCAACTTGAGAAAACATGTTATCTTCATCTTATTTGCATTTGCATTCAAAATATATAATGTACAGTAACTGAGTTTAATTTTAGGAATGTGAGTGCTTATAGTCCTTGTATTTGTATAATAAACAAACAGCAAAACCTACTTAAGAAGGTATAGTGTTTCTTTTTAAAAAAGGAAAAAAAAAACCTCCAACGTGTTTATTGCAGAACATTTCTCCCTGGTGTGCATTTTGAAAAGCTTTACATAAATATGCATACTTTGTAAGTATACATAGATGTATGTGTATATATACTCATACATTTAAGTAATATGAATTATTGAGCTGTTCTCTTAAAAGTTTGAGGCTGTAGCATGGTAGAATACCTCACTCTATCTGTTGTACTTAAGCTGTTCCTTAATCCAGCATGCAAATGAATTTATGCCTCAGGCTTCCTGCATTTAATGATAGATCATCTACATAATATATTTTTGTTAAGGTTTTTTTTTTTTTAATAAGAACTTGGTATGTTGTCTTATTCCTATTCAGGTATTAGAATACAAGTAAATAGTCTAATGCTTACAAACTCTGAAGGAAAGTTGGCACAGCCACTGGCTCCAGCCGCCTGGGCCCAGGACCCACTGGAGCTCTCAGCACGGTGCTCCCGGGAGCCCGGGGTCTCTGCTGGGCCTGAGGGATGAATCTGCCGTTTTCCCATTAGCAGGTTCAACCAGCAGCAAAGTTAAGCGTGTGTCCCAGAGACAGGCACAGACACGCACGGACACGCACACAGGCATTTCTGGATAGAAAAAAATCCAGATTGTAACACCATCTGGTAGTTTTTCAGTACTTATTTTACATCACTTAATTTCTGGCATTTTTTCAGTGTAGTTAACTTCTGAAATTGCTGATTCAGTTACGGTTTGAAATAAAGAGAAGAACTTGAAGTGATCTATTCTGAAGCCTCCATGGCTTCAAATATAAGGGAAGAGGCAAAGTTACCACACGGGAGATAA